TGATTGATTACTGCGGTTTTCCGTTTTCTGTTAACTTTTGCTCTGGGAACTTTAACGGTCATTTGCTGTTTTTGCTCCCGTCAATCAAAATTCCAAAGTAAACGAACTGCTTTCGTGACTCCTCCCACAAAACCGAACCAAGTCCGAAAGTCCGCCATGTTGTTTGTTTCTTGCCTCGTGAGTTTAGCTCTGATCTTCGATGGAGAATTGTTTTCATGCATGTCGTCCACATTCCCCCAAAAACTTCTTCCAAGTACTGCCTGTTGGATAGACATTTGTGCACAAAATCTTGACGATATACAGGGAAATTGGAGATGTTGGAGATGGCGGACTTTCGGACTTGGTTCGATTTTGTGGGAGGAGTCACGAAAGCAGTTCGTTTACTTCGGAATTTTGATTGACGGGAGCAAATACAGCAAATGACCGTTAAAGTTCACAGAGCTAAAGTTCGCAGAAAACGGAAAACCGCAGTAAATCTAAGCTTGCGCTGGAGTATTGTCATATATGCACTCTTTGCTCTTCACTATAAACAGAAAAAATGTACAATCATTCGTGCCAATCAGTTGTATCAATAGCTCGGAATGTACTTTCATCGATCAGAGCAGCGGAACAACTCTCAATAGCGTTATTTACATATTTATGCATATTCATAATTATAATTCAACAGTAAACTCTCTCCTTCGCGGCTCTCATTGGTGGAGAGTCAACCATTAGACGCGATAGTGCCCGATGCAGAGGGGTATTATAAATGCATAATGCATTGTTATGATAAATAAATCAGCTGAAATCTCAAGTCTCATGCTGTGATAGTTGCCCTTGGCAACTGGTTGCTCCTCAAAACTTCATAGTTGCCCTAGAAGGTCCTAGAACTGTACTCTCGGGCGACTATTTGTTTTTCGCAACATCCACAGTTTCATCGGGCAACTATCAAAGCATAGAGCCCGCCGATTAAGAAAAAAATTGTTGTTGAATAATAAAATCAATAGAGCAGTTGATATCTTGGGTATTTTGCTTTGATAGTTTGCCCTTGGCAACTGGATATTCCTCAAAACATCATAGTCGCCCTCGAATTCTCGGGTGACTACTTGTTTTCGCGGACAACTATCACAGCAAAAATGTCCAAGCTTTC